CATAGAAAATTTGCGGCATTTTAAAATTTTGACGGTCCATAGTTCTGGCCCAGCAATTTATGTAATAATTGATGAGAGATGTGTTTTATGCTATTGTCTAACGTGTAGACTATACTAGGGCCACTTTGACTTTTAAATCTGCATAATATAATAACTTTCTTATTTTAAATGCTACAGACAGCGGTTTTTTGCATTATGCTCCTCTCCAAAACCCCGGTATTTTGATATATGATACAACTAGAGCGTAGTTATAGCAAAGGAGAAGTAAAATCAAAGCACATGGACACTTGAAGAGCACTTGACGCCATTACTACCACCCACGTGCGGTTATTGCGTAGGCGGATAAAATAAAATGGCCGCTGCAGCTACTATCAAGAAGAAATGGGAAACAGACTTTGAACAATGTACAAGACTCAAAGGAAAGGCCAATACAATTATAGGTAAAGTATAAAGCTGTCTTAACTTCATACATATACAGAGGTAAGGAGAAGAACTGCATAATCTTACAGCAAATGCTAAGATAGGCAGCCATATCTTTTTTACATTGTCTAAGCCTTTATGCTATGCTTTTGAAGGTAGGATTTGTATATATGCTTCCTAATAACAATACTTACTACTTTTCTGCTTTAGAACTGAGTATTATAACAATAAGAAACATAATTTCAGAATGTGACAAATAACAGTCCAAGATCTCAACTTGAACAATGATAGAATGAAGGATAAGCAGTTGATATACAGGAACTTGAACTACAGACACAATTTGATGAACCTGAGTCTTTTTATTCTTGTCTGTTGGGAGTTCAGTGATGAATAGATGATGATCACACCATAAGTTACTTGGAGATGCTGCTGTACCTCTCCCAATAAATCTGTGACTGCCCACAACAATGAGAAAGACATCTGACTACTTTTAAACTTTTAATTTACAATATCTTTAGTTTTATTAATAATTGTAATACCTGTGATGTGCTGTATTTGAGATAATCATATTCATAGTTGGTATACACAATATAAATAAACACTAAACAAACAATTAGCAGCTACTTCACACTTGACTACCAAACCTGCACTTATAATAACAGTAAAAAGTCAAAACTATAGTCTCCAAGTATGGGCTAATTGAATTTCTGTGGCTGTTTGTCAGATTAGCAACTGTCAAAACAAGGAAACTTAAAGAAAGTCTCAGAAATAAGAATCATGAAGGATTGCTCCCTTCTTCTTTTAACTGTATTGGTTCTTCAAGGGGGAAGAGGTGTACTGATGGAGGTCTGTAATGGTGTAACAAATATAAATGAATTGGGTAAGTATAGATCTTTATAGAGCTTTAACTAGGGGTGAGCCCAAGACAATGAGAATAATTATTTTTGAACTAACAATGAATGTGATTTTTAGCTGAGCAGTGACTATAGTACCAC